CAGGATATAGTTTCTAATCTTCAGATATCTTTCAGGGGTTTTTGATGGTCGCCCCTCAAAGAACTCTGGGATAGCCTGCTTCTCATCCTCGGTGATGGTCTCTGTGTCCATCTCTATTTCTTGTTCGGGGGCCTTCAGCTCCTCCTCTTCATCATCTTCATTCTCCTCCTCCTCCTGGTCATTGTATGGTCTATCATTTAGATTCTTCTCAATCTTGTCTGAAGAATCTAGGACATCATAATGTGTGTCATTAATTTTTCCTATGACAGTGAGGTAAATACACAAAGCAAAGTAAGTGTGAAGTACCCATTCCATCACTGTAAGCTTCTTCCAGTTGAGCAATGCCTGTTGAGAACATCTGCTTTGAGTCTGCGTGAGGCGGTGTCTGACAGCTTTGTGGAAATACCGATGCCGTCTTGTTGACCTTCTCATCTCGCTCTGTTACTCCAGGATCTTCTGAGCAACCAGGGAAAGATGAGGGTTGAAGACTTTGCGGAGAAAGAGAGGTGTGGCTCGGTTTCTCCTTCGTCTCATGGATGCTCTCTACCCCACTCAGACTTACATGTTCTTCTGTGGGGCTTTGACTCCCAGAATCTGTTTTCTCCTCAGGCCCACAGAAATCACTGCTGAGGACTGCCTGTGGTTTATTGCCTTCTTCGTCATCACTCAAGTCGTCAGTGATGTCTACATCCTCATCCTCATCGTCAGAAAGCTTCTCTATGCGGACAGCGTTGGCAAGAGTAGACACTTGACTGGAGGTGGGCTGAGGAGGTTGTAGGTGTATTATGGGAGCTACAGAGGGAGCCGCAGGACCAGGATCTGATTTTGCCTGAAAAATGTGTACACAAAAGTTTGTTTATTCTTGATTTTTATTTTCCAACATACCATTGCTAAGGACTCCTTCTGGTTGCATAGAGCGTATGTAGTTCGACTAAATTGCAGGTTTATATCTGCAGATGACTACAACTAAGCTTACATAACAGAAACCTGTCTTGTGCTGTTAGTATAATCCAGGTGGACTGTCTTACCTTATGTTTAAAATACTGCCTGGCGTAACTCTTAACCTGAAGAACGGTACGGCTTTCCATAAGCTTAGCAATCTTAGTCCACCTTCGACCAAACCGAGCCTGTAGAACAACACACCTCGGCAACTTGGACAATACACACAATCTGACTCACTTAAAACAATTATTAAATCCATTAAAAGCTGACCTTCCCAAACAGAAATTACATTTCAGACACAAAAGTTAACTTGCAGTGTAAGCATACCAGGCCTTCCTCAAACAGTTCTTTCTCCTGTTGGGACCATCGAGAGGATGAACCAGCAGACGAAGCTATGTTCTTGGCCGGAGACCTGTCCACACACAGACAAGTTCATGAATAGCAAGGAAATGAGGAATCAGTGTACTGCGCTCATCATCAAGGCTGATGGAAGAAATTACTCACTTTTTCACTTTGTTTTTTTTGTGAGGATCACTGTGCCAAATGTGGTCGGGAATCTCCTTACCTGTCAGGTAATATCTTCGATTATAGTTGAGGACAACTGATTTCATAACCAGCAACAAAATTAGTATTTAAACTATGTAATCAACACAATATAAGGAGCTTCAGCTACTGGTTGAAACTAGGTTGAGATGTTTTGGGTTACTCCTGCACTAACAGGACAAGTGAACATAAAATAATATAACATATTCCCCCACTGTAATTCCATTTACTGTAAGGTCAAGCGTTACATTTTTTTCTTTTAATTTGTCATCTGTCCGTATGTTTACATTAGCCACAGCATGGGGCAGTTATTAGGTAATCCGAAGCTTTCCCAGCTACGTCCTGTGATTCCTGTAGTTAACCTCAATGCATCACTATGCAGTGCGTTTAAGGTCAGTAAAAGGATACTGTTCCTCTAGCAGCATCCTCTCTATCACCTCTCTGTTCTCCGGGCTGATGGAGCTGTCCAGCTCCCAGGGCTGTACAAAGGAGAGACGGAGAGTCAACACGAGCACCCACAGCCAGAAAAACAACGGAGCTTGACGAAGTCATACCAGTATCCAGGCGCTGCTCTTCCCTGTAGGCTGCATGAACTGCTCCTGCACCAAACCTCCTCCGTCCATCTCCCTAAAACAGCGAGGAAAGAAGCTGTGATCAGCAGAGCAGATGCCTCCAGAGCTAATCCCAGCTGCTGTTATCCTGCGCCAACATCCGGGTCACCGCTAACTCGCGTAGACCACAGCACAGAAGCCCACCAAACAGCACAGCCATCAATTAATCCAAATAAACAGGCGTCATTACCCAATATTGTTATCAAAGTCATCTCCTTCGATGTCAACATCCACCTCGTCCTCCATGTTACTCGATAAACGTAAACAGCAGAGAGAAAACAGAGAACGCGCACTGGAGGAGAACAGAGGCCAGTGTGACTCACAGCGACACCCTGTGGCTGGATGTCGTTTAATATGTTTAAAGTTGCTTTACTGCCACCTTCTGGTTTAAATTCACCTTAAAGTGGGTTTATTATGCTTTTTTATATTGGACGCTTATTAAAAACAAAAACAAAAAACGTTGCTATCCTTAAGTTCAGGCTTCAGAGTTCTCTAATTGCTCTTATTTTTCTCTTGGATCTATATGATGTCAGAGACATATTACAGGATATCATGAGCACAACAGTCCCAACTACCCACCCTTAAACCTTCTGTTTAATAGCGGCAGCAAGTCAGCCTTAAAGGGAAGCTGTCCCTGCAGTGAGAAGAGGTAAAAATGGTTCATTTTAGACCGCAAATCATTGTGATGCCCACCGCAAGATAAATAAGTAAATAAATAATGATGAGCATAAGATGCGCACTTTAATGTTCAGTTGTATTACACTTCTAATTCATCAAATTTAAACATATACTGCTGTTACATATGTAATATTTTATATGTTATTGATATATTTCTTCCCCCAACATAATAAAGATGGATAGTGATTCCCTAGAAACTCATAGGAATGAGTAGGCATAAAAGCCCGGGGAGGGTTCAAAGTCATTGAAGAAACAAACAGCTTTAAATATGAGGATTCCTTTTAAAACTTACATTCATTGTCTTCCAGAGGTTGAGAATCCTTTCGGATACAGCATATCCACATTTGATGATATCTACAGCATTTTGATATGACCGAATTCTGTTTCCCTTCCCTTGAGATACTCTGCTAGACTTTTACCACAACCACCTTTAGTTTTTACTTCTTCATGGATCTTCACTGACTTGGACTATGCCATTTCTTTGCCTTGAGACTGTATTGGGTTATTATCCATTAGCACTATAAAGCTCTTTCTGATTGGTTTTGCATCTTTTTGCTGAACGTAAGGAGAGAGTATAGCCCCGTGCTACTTTTGTCAGCAGTCACATCAGTAAACTAATGATCCATTTACTGTGGCAGCTATACACACCCATGACACAGCATTGCCCCCACCATGTTTGACAGATAATGCAGTATCCTTTGTGTCATGTGGCGTTCCTTACCTTCGCCACATTTTGCTCTGTAACCAGTGGTTTACACCTTTTTATAAAACCTTTGTATTTGCATTTATGAAAGCATCTTTTAACTGTAGATTTTGGGGATATGCCATTCTCTCTGAGGGTGTTACTGATTTGGTTAGATATTGTGAAGGGTTTTTCTTGCTGTTGCTAAGCTGGACAGCGTATTCATTCTTTTTAAGAAAGCACCAGATCATTGATGTGGTCGCTCCTGATACTCATTTCATCATAAAAGAACAAAACAACAGGTGTCACATGGCTATTAATTTCTTTTTAAGCCAACTTTCCAATTACTTTTGAGACTGAGGATGGGATTCTATGAAGTACGTGTATACCCAAATCTGTATACTGCTATCACTACTTTTCTTTAATAAATGTTTCCTGCCTAGGGACAACAGAAGTGAAATAGCAATTTTGCTAAAATCTGACATGAAACAACTCCAACTGAAAGACAAAAAGAAACAAAAACATTTTATTTAGAAAGAATTCACAGTTTCTAATGGCACTACAGTTTTTTGTAGTAACTCACTCCTGCTCAAAAATACTGTGCAGCTCTTCAGAGTACTCACAGAGACAAAGAGAGGGCGAGAGAGAGGGATAGAGAGAAGGTAGCACTTGACATAAAGGGTAGAAAAACAAAAAGGCATAAGGAGTCATACAAAGTGCACACTGAGCATTTAGAATTTCTCTCCAAGTGCTTTCTTGTTGTTTGCTGTGTTATGTGTTTAAATCGATTTAAAGTAGTCTTTTTCATAACACAGACCCACCCACACACACACACACACACACACACACACACGAGACAAGAAAAAAAAATCTCGCATGCGTACAGGTTTACACACAAACATATTACACATTCAAACAGGGATTTAAAAAAAAAAAAAAAAAAAAAAAAAAAACAAAACAAAAAACAAAAACCACCCTCTGGATTTGCTCGGCTCTTGGAATATAAGTAACCACATTAATAGTGTTCTGAATTGGATTAATCTTTACTGCGTTCCCTTTTATTCAGCAACAATTCATTTCTTCCTCACAAACGACCGCTGTCATTCGATGTGGGGCAAACACGTGACATCAAAAAAAAAAAAAAAAAAAAAAAGACTTAAAAGGAGTGTACGACCACAGTAAGAATGCACAAGAAAAAAAAAAAAAAAAAAAAAAGCAAAAAAGCTAGACAGAAAAGCAGGCAAGCAGAATGAAAAAGCATTTGAAGCCAATAGGAACATGGTAGAGTGGTTAATCAAAGCAGGCATATTTAAAGTTTTCTTCACAGTCACAGACAGAAGTCGTGCACAGGGGGTCAGAGGTGACATTTCTGGATAAAGATATGTAAGGAAAGAAGAGCAGTAGAAGCTGGTCAAAACAGGTAATGACACTCATATGGGATGGTAGCATTAGAAGAAAATTCTGTCAAGACGTCCAACACCAACCATGCAGAACCTCTATGAAATTGCATAAATAGAAGGGGGAATAAAAAAAAAAAAAAAAAAAAAAAAAAAAAACCTCTGTTAAATTTATTCTTTAAAAGCAAACAAAAATAAATCTGCAGCTTCCTGCAGTGTTTTTGCTGAATTGTTATATTGAATATACATTAACAAAACAGCCAGGGTAACATAAAATCAGTTAGCCAATCCAGCAGAGATGCTGAAAAGGCAGACAGAAGACAGCACAGTACTACAGTCATTGTTATAGCCTCTCTCTTTTTTCTTTAATAAAAGCATCTCCAACTTTCCAGCAGCTCTGAAAACACACAGAAGCAGCAGCGTGTTCCCAACATACATGTAGCCTTTAACTGTTATTTTGTTGGATATAAAATGCGATTACTGTCCGATATTTCAGGCTGAGCCAAGTACAATTAGACGACGTTATAAGGTAAGAAAACGAAAGAAAGCAAATGTGTTTGAGCCATCCACCATGACTGTATGTGTCAGTACCACTGAGTAGTAATTCTATGTAACAAACTTGCATTGAGCCACTGTGACGCTGCAAGACTGGGAGACTGGCAAACCAGCGACTAGGTTAGAAAATTCTCTGTTCATTTAAATAAATAAATAGATAAATAAAGCTGATCTGTCAGACCCATCTGCAAGGTCCACGAGAGGGTGTGCGTAAACATTCAGCTCTGTTACCCAAGGTTACCCTACAGTAAACTGTGCCCTTAACAGGAAACACTTTGCCCCATACTGGCTCTGACAGCAACTCAAACAAGCCGAACCAGCAATGCTAAGAGAAACATGGCTCAGTTACAAATGAAAGAACTATAAAAGTAATGAAACAATATATTACAGCTTCTTGCCTCTGAGCTGTTTTATCACAGTTACAAAATCTAATGTGACAGCATTTTTGGGCCCAGCCCAAACTGAGCAGGGTCTACAGGAGCTGGACTGCTGCTACTGTATTTGTTTTATGAAGTTAATTGAGACACTTAAAAAAAAAGAAAAGAAAAGAAAAGGGCTAATACGCTCATGTAGACTTTTCTTCATTCAGCTCTCGTGGTTGGTTTGGAACAAACTGACAGAGACAGAAGGCGAGAATGAGACGGTTTTACCCACTGGTCCCAAACAAACACCTGCAGTCATTTAGAGACTAAGGCAGGATGGAAAAGGTTAAATGATGGCAATGAAAGACAGGAGGAAATAAGAATAAGAGAAGTCATTTGTCATGCTCCACAGTCCTCTTATAATGACATATTTCATCCCAAAGAGCAGCCTAATACTTTTCAAGGAACACGGAGTTGAGACCAGCACCTCTCCTCACTGTGCTCAGAGTGGGGAAATGAATTCACTGGTGCTCCACTTTCATGGGTAAATGTGCTTATCCAGTAGAAAAATGAAAATAAAATAAAATCTCTCAAACACACTTCAATAGTTTTGACTCTTCTTGGTGTTTCACTTCCTATCACAGTGTCTTTTTGTGCACATCAACAACTGTTTACATTTCACGTTTTTAAGAGTTAGAAGGTCTAGAACAGATATAAAGGCACATAACCGTAAACGGGTCTTTGACAGGAGTGAATAAGAACTGAATGATGTTGAGCTACTGCTGCCATAGCCAATTCAGTTCCACGGTGCGCCTGGGTGCTCATGGGAAATGTGGTTCTTTGGGTTGTGGTAAGACCTCTTCTGTCTGTCATGTCTGCTACCGTGTAGTGTGTGCACAGGTGTGAGCAGATAATCGTGTAAAGGTGACGCGTGAGGATTCAGACATGTCCGGTGACGGCTGTCACCCCGATGGTCCCGACACTCATCTCCTTGTTTCCCTTCATAAGCTGCTGCAGGCTGGGCAGAGAACCAACGCTCCCCACTGGCATGTGCGGGAACTGCAGCTCGGTCTGGCGAGACTTCCGCCGCTTCGTTGAGCGCTTCTCCTGACGGGACTTAGCAACCGGCTGGCTGAGGGGGAAAGAAAGGCCGTGGCCGTTGCACACGCCATCAGCGGGGAAGACGGGAGAAGGAGGGGGGAGCCGGCTGGCGTACGACTCCTCAGAATGGGTGGACGAGCTGCAGCTGCTAGTCTCTGAGGGGAACTCCTTAGAGGTGCGACGGGGCAATAATGGGCCCTCCTGTGGTGTTGAAGGGGGAGGAGGCAAGGGAGGAGGAGGTGGAGGAGGAGGAGGAAGAGGTAGGGGGCGTGTTGAGGATGGTGGCGCAGGGAGACACGGGTGGAAGCTGTTAAACTTGGGATCCCCGTTAGTGAGGAGAGCAGAAGGATCGAATGCCTTCAGAGTCTCAACTTTGTCCAAAGACTTTGCCTTGCAGCGTTTTTTCTGCAAGGTAAACATAAGAGATGGAGAAATTACTTAAGAAAGATCAGCAGAAAACTAAACAACTAATAACGTTAAGTCACAAACAATAGTCGGAGGAAGGTGGGAAAGTTCAAAAGGGAATGATGGAAATGAGGAAAACAAAAACATACTACTCAACCTGCTTATCTAAAAATATTAAAAACTTGAAGCGAATAAAGCTGGCAGTACACACACAGACACACACACACACACACACACACACACACACACACACACACACACACACACACACACACACGTGCGCTAATGGGTATTTCGCCAATTCTTTCCACTGCTCAGCTGATACCTCATCTCATTTACTCCACAAAATAAAGAATTCCCTTTTCTAAAACAGACGTATTAGAAAGACTCATTGAGACGAGAAAACACAGTACTTGTATACGACGGCCATCACAGCCAACAGACACTGTACCTTTTTCTCTGGAGAAAACCTTAGAGGTTCTACAATGTACAAGTCATCTGGACCTACTGGGGAGGGGAGAAAGGGGCTAGGTTAATGATGGAATGGGATACAGGAATACGTACATGTAATAAGCATGAAGCGACCTTGCAAGTAGTTTTAAAGATGAAAAGGCATAAATCCATATTGTAGTAATAGCTTGTTGTTAAAACAAGATTTGAAATCATAGAAAAGCAGGTGTTGTTTTTATTAAGGAATACTACTTGCAAATGTCTACCATGAGCCAGCAAAGCATTGTGCTCTATTATTAAACTCCTTATGCCTGCATGTGGCAAGCTGGCAATGACAGCCTCCCACCCTCAAGGGCAAACTCTCTCTCTCACACACACACGCACGCACGTCATTAGGGGGTAATGAACAGCAGCGGGAGTTTAAGGTTTCAAGAGCTGATACTTTTATTGCTTGCACCAGCCTTTCCTTGTGGGCGTGTGTTGCTTTAGGCAGTGGCAACAAGAGGGATATCAGTCACTAAACCTGGCAAAATGTCTTAAAGCAACAGCAAAGGTACAAAGAGTGAGCGATGGAGAGAATGAAGCAAGGCTAAGTAGTGTTTGGATGGGGAGAGATATGTGGCAATAGACGCAGTGATCAAAAGCAGTTAGCCTGAAAGTGCCTAAAGGCAAGATTACATGATGTTTGCAGCGTGACTGTAGTGTCAGATCTCAATGCTGCTTATGTTTCAGTTGGAAAAACAAAAGGAGGAAACATATGGGTAAAACAAAAGTGTGTTGGAGGAGAGATTTTTGAAAAGTGAATGGGCACGTAGGAAGAAGACCTCTTACCTTCTGTAGAGGACAGGTGAAACGACTTGGAGCGAACAAGTGGGCAGGTCACCCTGCGCTTCAGGCTCATGTCATCGTAAGAGGAGAAGCATCTGATAAGGGAGGGAAAAATGACTGACATTTACAAGATGCTACATTCATTCCTTGATTGTCAATCTTTCTACAGTTAGTAGCAAGACGGGAATGACAGCAACCGACAGACAACAGCTTCAGTATTCAGTCTAATACGAAAACACTGAACAACACTTAACAAATGTCATAGCAAAGCTTCAGAAATAAAATATCCTATTCATGCATGCGGGTGACAAACCTCTTGGGACTGGGGTAGTGGTTGCTCTTGGGAAGAGCAGTAGAGTTGGTGCTGGGGCCGGGGGCCGAGCTGCGGCAGCACTGCAGACACAGCAGGATCCCCAGAAATAGACACAGAACCAGAGAGACCACCAGGTAGCTCTGACGGTCAGATACCTGCAGAGGACGATTTCAGCAGTCAACAGTGAAACAATGCACAACACATCAAACATTCAACAGCTACGTCGACTTATGATACCGTGAGTGGTCCTTTTCCCCAGTTGTGATGTTTTGTACCATGTCCTCCGTGACCTTACTCCAAAAGCACTTTTAGTTTGGCCTAAACACTGTATGCAAAAGGCCCAGTGAATTTATATAATAAAAAAAAATAAAAAAAAAAATAAAAAAAAGAGAGAGAGAGAAGGAAAAACCAGGACAAACTACCCACAAATTGTTATTCTAAAAAGGATACACAAACTTTATCCTCTATCCTTTTTAATGTAACTGCATTTAATCATGTGGGCTCAGAAAATGTGCCTTGGTGAAAAGTCAAAGCCAAACATGTTGAAATATTCAAGTCAGAAAAATGTTTTCCACTCAAGTCAAACTCTGCACGTGTTTTGGAAGAAGCAAAAGACTTTAAATAAACAACAAAACAAAAAAAGTTAAAACAATACATGATGGCCATGAATATTAAGGTTTCACACAGACACTATACTTATGTGAAAAAAAAAAAACTACTTAAATTGTCTGTTTATCTACTTATAAACAAACTTGTAGGTAAAACGAATGTTATATTCCATTATACTTAATTTCACCTCTAGTTACTCTGGCTGGTACCTACTATCTGGCATACTCCATTTCAGATGGATTTCAAGGTCCCGACTACTAAAATCATTACTCCGAACATAAAAATCAAACCTGGACTATATCTGGAACAGCAAGAGATCTGACAACAGATGGTGTTTAAACTACATTATGTTAATGAGCCAGAAGCATCATGATCTATTTTCAACAGGAAGAATAAATCTTTCTCTGAACACAAGCAACAAGGTTTTAAGCCAAACACAAAAAGACAATTCTGTTAAAAACTAAGCAATAGATAGTCTACTCAGCAATCAACGATAGCAATATACCTCTCTCTGCAGCTCGCTGACTGTAGCTGTGAGATTGAGCATCAGTTTAGTGACGTTTTCCAACTGACTCTGCAGGACTTGGATGGACTCTGTCTGCTTCTGGTCCTGAAAATATACAAAAAAAAAAAAAGAAAAAAAAAAAGAAGATATTAGTCAGCACAGCTGCTCAGGTGTCAGTAGATTGAGTAAATAAGACTCTTAACTGCAAACATATTTTACTGTGATTTAAGATGATTAATGCAATGAGACCTGTTCCTCAGCAATACGGGAGGTGTTTTGCAGCTTGATGATGGTCTTATTGAACGCTTTCTGCATCTCTTCCATCTGTTTACGATATCTGGAAATCACAGATACATATAAATAACTTCTAATAATCTCTCCCAGATTGCAAATATCTGAAACAAATTAGGGCAGTAAAATCTGTACTGAAACTTTGCTTTTTGTTGCAGTTTAGATTTGAAAAGTTCAACATGGCCAGTGGTTTCACCTCTGGCTGAGTTCCTCCAAGTATCTGCTGGACAGACTCATGTTCATCTCCAGAGCTTTGATCCTGTTGTTCAGCCTCATGAACACACTCTCTTTCTGGCTGGATCCGTGGACTGCGCCTCCGTTAACTAACACGCTGTTCCCATTCACTGCTCCACCATTATAATCTCCACCGTTCTGCAGCTCTGCATAGAAGTCTGTAGCCGTCCGCTGAGCGTTGCCATTACCACTAGCATTCAGCAGTTCCTCTTCTACAGTCTCTTCCACCCGATGAGGCTCTCCTGTCTGAGGAAGTGAATCAGCCTGCTCCCCGTGGGTCTGGGAGGCCTGAACATTTTGTCTCTGCGAGTCCCCGCTGTCTACGCCTGACTTAACTGAGTCTGTGTGAATGTCATTTGAAGGCAAAGCTGCTGGCAGCTCAGTGGGAGGGGAGATAAAATCCTCAGGTCTTGAAGCAGTGGGAAGAGGCTGAACAGGCTGATCTTTGACAGGAGGAACCGTGACGACAGGAGAAGCCGTCTCAGAAGATTGAGATAACGGGGGAGTGCTGGCAGAAAGCGTGGGGGTGACGCTGCTGGCGTGCTGCGTCTTTGGGATAGAGACAGCTTGGAGGAGAGGAGTGGGGACAGGATCTAGGGTTGCGTCTTTAACTAAAGGTAACAAGTTCTCCTTAGGGGTTGGGGTAGGCTGTGTTAGGGAGCTGTGGCTGTTTGAGAAACTCTGAGGGGGGATGGTGGAGGTTCTGCTGGGCTCTAGGAGGATGTTGAGCTCGGGAGTGTATGAATCAGGTGTGTCAGTGCTGAGAGGCGTGTCAGTGGTGTACTCCTCACTGAGAGCTCTGCACTCATTTTGCCCCTTCTCAGGCACCTCGAGTTCTGGAGCTTTTTCTGTGAGAGGAAGGGGTTCTTGGATAGGTGTGGGGGCAGGAATAGGAATCAGTGGAGGTGTGTGTGTGAGGACAGGTGTGCTCACAGTAGGGTGAGTCTGTGTTTGAGTGCTAAGCTGCCTCTTCTTAAGGCTGCGCAGTCTCTCCTTGGCCAGCCTGGCAGAGCACCAGCGATGGAGCAGCTCAGGCAGAGTGACCATGCAAGACAGAGAGAGGGAGGAGAAGGAGGTGAAAGGACAGTAAGCCTGGCTCTCCCACTGGTTCCTGTCTGCCTCCTTCCTCATCTCCTCCTCGCTCTTTTCCCCTTCTTCATCATCCTCTCCCTCCTCCTCCAATAGAGTAACAGTTGACAGTCTGATCTCCTCATCCTCTTCCTCCTCCTCTACTAGAGTGACAATCTGATCCACATCCTTATGTGGATCAGATGATGAGTGGGAAGATGTGGAGGAGTCACTAGAGACAGAGACCTCTTCTGTTGTAGGTTGTTCTGGCTTTGAAGGTTGCAGTCTGAAGAAAAGAAAAAACAAAAAACATGCTTTCTGTGGGATTTGGAGTTGAAAAGCTCATCACGTGGAACTGAATTCAATTTAAATTAATAAAGGTATATCTCTGATGGCTCTTACACTGTGTGTAGGGCCTCAGTTGGTTTAGCTGACTCTGTGCTCTCCTTTTCACCCCCCTCTGTTGCGTTACCTGGGGGTTGGAGAAACACACAACAATTAACAAACACAGCACAGCAATAACACTTGGCTACCGTTTTTAAGATTGCGTAGAACCCTCTAACTTGGCAGTGGCTCGTTTCTTTCCACCCTCTTGTAGGAGGGACAGTGTAGGTGCACAGTCCCTCCAGGCTGGAATGCCCATGTTTAGGCAAAGGGAGAAATGCTGTGAACCAGTCTGTTCCAGTTTGAACTGATTGTGTCTCTCCCAAATTCTGCCTCACTCAGTGGGTGTAAATGGGAATAAAAACAGCCACTGTAGAGAGCAAGCAGTAAAAAGACACTATAGAGTTGTGCTAATAATTGAAAGGATGAATTTGTGGGGTTTTTAATGTATTTTTTTTTTTATCAGTTGTCATAACCAACAGGTCTAAATACAATGAATTTTTAAAAAGCATAAAGAAACATAAGAGCCAAATCTGTTAATAGATTCCTCCCCTCTTTAAGTCAACCACACTAGAGAAAAGTTGTCTAAGGAGTCATTTTGATAGCGCTCTGTGTGGTAGACAGAACTAGAAGAAAGCTCAGCGTCATAGGCCTAACTGTCTTAATTTAGCTGAGCTCCTTGCCAAGAAGAACTGAAACAAAGATAGCCAAAGTTCTGCTGAAATACCGCTAGGGACCTCCTGCTAAGAGCCAAGTAAACATCTGGCTCTCTTAGCACATATACACATGAACATTCAGTCTATGCATATGTTTGCACTTTAGCCAAGGAAATAAAGTGACCCAGTTTTTGAAGCAGTTAATCTAAACAAGATGTGGAAAGACAGGCTGGCTGGAGAACGCGAGGAAAAAGGCAGTCACACAGTAAGAGCAGAGTACAGGAGTGAAAACACAGCATTACAGTTTGCTTTATAAGTGTTAAATACATTTGAATTTGTTTTTAAAGGGATTTCATAAGATAACGCTATACGGTCTATAGAAGAAGCACAACTACAATTTGCTTTCACATTAAGGAAGTTTTCATCTAAACCTCAGGAAGGTGTGAAACCTATTATGTAATCTGGACGTTTCTTAACCGGAATTTCCAATTAGCTTTTCACACATGCACGCACCTTCACAAAACAAAACCTGTTGGATGGATGATTCATGCTCAACAATCTCAGTAAAAGTCTTTTATAGTGCTGACTCGGAAATCCCTGCTCCATAACACTTCATACAGATAGACCAGTCATATTACCTCGAGCTAAGGTGTGGGAGCAACATGCAACAGAATTCAAGTCAAGGTCTTTTCTAACAAAGGGGAATATGTGAAGAGGCTGAGCCATCAATGTCAGATTGCTGATTAAATCTGACCTGCAGAGGTGGACCAAGTATCTCTTAGTATAGTTACACAAGTTGTTTGCGAAACACGAGTACTAGACCATTTTTACATGTACATTACACACATAAAAAATGTGCCCCTAATCAGCATGTGTAACGTTCTCCTGGCAATCTGTAGTTTAAATCTGTAATTTACTTTAACTTTTAAAGAGACAGTAACAGATCACCTAAATGTGATGTCTATAAAACAGGAAACTTGAGTTTATCAGCTCTTTATTGGCAGTTGAATGGGAAGCCAAACAAATTTTAGCTTATGTTACACATGTGCATGGATGTGTTTATACTTTGCCTTACACTTATGCTTAGAGCAGTGCAAATATAAGTTACTTCAGCGCCCATTTGGGCTAACCCCAAAATCAGTATGAATGGATTTATTTTGAGGTTATTTTTTTAAGAAAATTAAAAATGAAGCAATATAAATAAGTCTAAGATACTCTGATGAATGTAAGATGGCTGAAAATGTTGACTTGTGTATGGTGTACTGTTCAAGTGTTGCATGTGAAAATGTGATGGTAGAAAAATACCCCCCCCCCCAAAAAAAACCAAAAAAAAAAAAAAACCAGAAAAGTAAACTTTTAAAAAAGGTCTAAAAAGTGGCCTCTGAGAAATCAGTACCTCCCGTTTCTGCTCCAGTCTCCAGCTCTGGCTTTCCTCCCAGCACATTAGCAGCAATGTTGTTTACCATGTTTAGGATGGCATCTAAAAACAAAAACAAAGAAGAAGAACATCCACGCAATGCATTTATTTTCCATGACATGAGATTTCTGACTGACAGCAGCTTCAGGCCAAACACATCAAAGCCAAACCACATATTGTACCATATGTTTTTGCTTTATTTTCTTAACCATTCTCTCTGATGACTGTATTCTCCTTCTATATTATGTCCCCTGGATTTACTGTCATGAGTTTTATTTTAAGCCTTTCCTCCAGGGTCCATCCACTCTGAAGCCCTTTTATGGTTTATGGTTAGAGCTCTGAGACTTGTGTGCACGGTACATTTTCAGGGGTGCACCGTTCCCCTCCTTTGCTAACTCAGGAGACAGAAGGGCACCAGTGTATTTGTGCATGTGTGTGTGGTTTCCGGAAAAAATAAATGGATAAATAAAGCCAAGCAGCAAAATTTATGCAACTCAAAAAGCCCACAGTGTGTACGCAGGATACCAAGTGGGTTAAAATACTTCAAGTTGAACAGTATGTGAATGAGTTCATACCCAACAGGCCATAAAGTTGGCTGCTGTACCAACAACTGTATGAGGTCTGAGATAATTGAAAAAACTGTGTGCACTATGACTGGATACAACAGTATAAAAGCCAAACTTGCACAAATCATAAAATAGTTCTTCTTTAACATAGGATGGAAACACCAGATTACTGTAGCTGCAGTTTGATGACATGTAACGAAACATTTTCATTAACATTTTTCATGACAGTTGACACATTTTCTTATTCCTTTTTTAAATTCGATCAGGTAGGGCTGTCCGCTTTTGTGCTGAAGCCATCTGACCAACAGCAAAAGCTCGGCCCAAACTGGGTTACGTTACAGGAATATAAGATACAGAGCACAGCAGCAAATATTAAAAAAAAGAATCAGGGTGCAACAATGGTGCCAAGTCCAGACCTCAATCTGACTGAAATGGTGTGAAGGGACCTCATGAGGGCTGCGCCAACATGAAGAATTCCCCCTTAAAGATGTGAGACACTGATCTTCAAGTTATTGCCACTAAAAGTGGTTCAAACAAGCTAGTGAACCAGCTCAACTGCATAAAGTTCTGTGAAAATCTATTTTTCACGACTGCATTTATAAGAACGTGTGTATGTGTACATACTGGTTGCTGAACCAAGCAGGTTTTTGGAGGCCTTGTCTTCTGTTGGTTGGTAGCCAGGAGGATAGTCTGAAGAGAAACACGTGGTAGCAGTTAAAATAAAATCATATTAATTGGAAAACAAAAGGCAAGAAATCGAAGTAATGTATTTGGTAACTACTTTGAAGAATAATTTATTTTGGCTTTTTGAGCCTGGTATAACCTATAGATTTGTGGCACTGGTTTGCACAATGATGAAAGTACAGTATGAATTCATTTAATGTTAACACATCCATTTCTGGTCTTTTACATACAAATTTCAAATTTGTACATTTGAAATCGACGTCAACATCTTACCATAGTCCTCATCCAAATACTCAAGTCTCTCTGAGGGGTACTGAGAATCTGCTATCTCCTCATACTCCTCCACCATGCTGGTACCAAACACCCTACACAACACAAAAAAAAACAATACGTTACACAAACAGACCTACAGAAAAGGTCAAGACTTGAAATTACCACACAGCGGAGGCAGTGGAATTTTTTGATGCAGCTCTAAGAAAACAATGCCAGTTGAGCACATTTTGAGATAAAAGATAAAAACTCACGGAAACTGAACAATGTGTTGGATATGGACGCACAAGTGATGACTGTATATAAGAAGTACCATCTGAGGGAAATTAACTTAAAAAAAAAAAAAAAAAAAAAAAAAAAACACCAAAACAATCTTTTTTTTTTTGTTTCTTTTTTTATTCCTTTTTTTCCCTTATTGTGATTGTGCAGTTAAAGTCTTTAAAGTGGACATTCTTAAGGAACCCTCATCATCAGACTCACTGTGCAAGAAAAGGCATTTTAGCTGTGTTACAACATTCAGAATTTAATCTAAAACAACAACAACAACAACAACTATTAAGGTGGTGCCTAATAAGTAAACAACAAAATCTAATCATAACAGACCTTTCATGATATAGCGGCGCTCCTGTAATTACAGCTGCCTGGATAACAATTTGCATTGATGTAATAAAATCAAAGTGTTTGTTTGTCAACACTGCTTATGATAAAGGCGGTTGTGTTTTAAAAGACAGATTCCAGAAACTTTCAAGATCTAATTAAGTAAACTGGAACAAGACAAGACGATAAGACTGTTCTTCTTCTTCTTCTTCTTCTTCAAAAAAAAAAAAAAAAGGAATGGCATAACTGTTAGAAAATATTAACTTTTATTTGGTTTTATTAAATAGTGCTTCTTACAATTTGCATAATTTACCCAATCGCACAAGCACTTTTTCCTATGCTTTTTCTATATAAACGCATTGTAAAACAGTTGTGGTTAGCATCCTGCCCAAGGATAGCTGCCATGCAGAGCCAGGAAGCAGCTAGGGATCGAACCACCAACCTCCCAATTAGTAGATGAGCTACAGCCACCCATGGGTTGATAAGATTAGAGAAAGGTCTAGAAAGATAAAGGAAATTCTTTAACTTACCTGATAAGACTGAGGGGACAGAAGTGTTCAGATCCGAAATGAGAGAGAAGTTCAACCTGCAGGTACAATAGTTAAGCTATTAAACAGTATAAAAATATGCACAACTCCATGAACCCACAACCCACCAAATTAGTAGAACTGCCAAGCTTTGACAGTTTGTGCATGTTTTACTTGTTTATTATCCACATGCATTAAAGATGAAACTCTACTCGCCCATTTGAGTATACAAAAAATAAAAGTGTTCTTATTTCAGCCCATTATAACCTCTGACAGAAAGAGAAGAGTGCTAACCTTTATGTACTTGATGAACATCTGATGCGAGAAGAAGACAAAGAGAAGGAGAGAGAAATAAAACAAGAAAAAGAAATCAGTAAGAGCTGATTCAAGCTACAAGGAAGTCAAGAATCTGTGTACGGTTCAGCTCTCTTCTACGACAAACACACAGCTGATATATGCAAGATCACCATTCTGCAACAGAACACAGGCAAGACACTAAACAGATGTTTCTAATAAGCTGCAAGAAAGACACAAGCAAGACTGAGGGAAAGACAGACAGACTTACAGGCTCACTACTCATTAAAAAAAGAAGAAAAAAAAAAAAGAATAAGATGCTCAGGAAGTAGAAACTAAAAATAGATGAAGCTGAAATCTAAAAAAAAAAAAAAAAAAAAAAAAAACAAGTTTATGTAATAGAAACAAAACTGGTTCAGAATAGATGTGAATCAACAGTAAGCTCCTACACAAAACACCCACGAGTTACATAAAAAAGGATAATTATCCAAGTATTAATCACCTGCTTAACAAGTCTACACTGAATATTTATTGGCAAAAGTGATTGTAAGGAAAGAGACCGTTTAGAAGAGCACCGATTTAGATCACACTTTCAAACCCATTTTTATAGATAATAATGGGCTGTTGTGTGAAAGCTCACAGACATAACTACATAGCCAACCTTTAACACACTTAATCAGAAAGAAGCAGATTTCATAAATACAATGGACAACAAATTTCCTTAGGAGGCTATGTGTATGACAAAAAAGAAAAAAATGATAATAAAGTGATATCCATCGATGAACACCTTGCTTTGTTTGTTACGCTGCAATTTAAGCAGAAATGAGGCACATCTGGTTTGACTTACGGATGGAGACAGAATCCCAGATATGGGAGCATTTAGGAATCTGAACCATGAGCGTAGGGACAAAAATTATTTTAATGCTTCTTGTCTGTTTAGTTTTCCTTAACATTCAGTGGCAAACCTAATGTTTAACCATCTGAAATTTAAATTCATTTTAGTGGAAACTACTGTAAGCGCCCTGAAAAAGGATCACGGCTTAATATAAACTCTAGCGTGATGTAAGTACAATCCACACAGTCCAAGACGGCCAGTCGTGACGCTCACATGTTAAATACAATCAAAACAGTCGTCGAGTTCCTCTACTATGCAATTCTCACATGTAAACAGTTACGCCCTCACAGTCACCATAATTTAGCTATTCAAAAGATGACTGCCCTGATGTCATCAGTAACTTTCTATTAAGTCACAAGACACTCCCTGGACCTACACCTTTAACTTCTGTATATAACCATGTCAGTATGTGTGTATATCCATGTCTAAGATTTCTAATATACCACTGAAAATGGGGACATTTTATGTATACTTTATGATATGTTATTATTCTATCTGCAAGTAAACAGGAGTACCTTCACATATTTAGCATAAAGCTGTTCATCTAGTGGGAAGCTCTGGACTATCCGTTCATCGCGAGCATGGAAAGTTCCCAGCTTTACCCACTTGTTGGTAGGATATCTGCAACAGAGAGAGGGGAAACGTACGATGTGAATGTGAGGAAGATCGATTTTGTAACATGTCATCTGGCATGACCTCACAGGGTGGATACAAATGTCATTATATTCATGCCATGTCTAAGAGTGGCAATTATCGGCATTATGGAGCAAGACAGCGCTAGATATAAATCTTTAACAAAGACAACACAAGCCCTGACTGCACTAAATTTAGAGGTGATAATACTAGGGGACAAAAATGAATGCAAAACTGGTTAAGAAACTGCTTTAATTATAGAGTACTGGCTTTCCCCTCATCTCTAAATGGGTTATGGTGGATAGCTGTCAGTTTCTTGCTAATATTGTAGGACCTTTACCTTACAATATAAAGAGCTGTAAGGCAACTGTTGTATTTATATATACCACCAGTTCACAACTGACTTCTTCTAGGAGGAACTGAATATGATCCAGCCAGTGATGATAGAAAGAAAAGTACTTGATTAAAAAAACAACAACTAACAAACAAAAAACATTTAATATTAATTTATTATGAGCAAAAAAATAACAAAAAAAAATTATGCAAAACTATTGTGAAACTTTATTTAGCCCCAGTGCAAGTTTGGAAATGGGAAACATGAAAGGTCTCTATATGCTTAAGTTGGTAACCACTATGTATGTCCTTAGCTAAAAATAAATAAATAATAAAAATTTGGTTTTTAATATTTTTTAGTGACACATTGAGCTTTCCTCTTCCTTCGCTCATCTACTGACTTTTAATTTCATGTGGAAATGAACTGAAAATATACTACTTTCTATACAACACTAGAAATGTAGATGCAAGGCCTATGCAAATCATTTGAGCAGGTTAGTGCAGCTACGCAGCTTGTGAGATGCGTGTTTGTGGGACGGCTTGAGCCTTGCTGCAGCGGTACATAATTTCGTTTTTGGCATGGTGCCTGTTTGTTTCAGTTTTTTCCCCCTACACCTGAGGCGCATGGCTGTCAGCAAAACTGACAGTAAAAAGATCTGTTGATAGTCATACTGACGTAGCAATAAGCAACATTACATAACTGAGTTTGTGGTATTAAAGGGTGGGCTTTAAATGAATGTTAGTCCTAACAGAATCCCAGTGTGGACAAAAGTATTATGTCAGTAATTTAAAAGAACATATGAAGCTTTGTGGTTACTATTTTTCACTGCTTGTCAATGCAAATACTACAAATATCATGGTTAAGATAACGAAATGAGATAAAAAAAAAAAAAAAAAAATTTTAAATCGATGCATGAACATGCCGTTATGAACAGGGGAAGTAAATGGTGTGGCATGGGGCTTACAGAGCTTTGTCTGCTATAACTGTCTGACAGCATGCTGAGTGTAGTTTTTCAATTGCACACTAGCTTAAAAGGACAAAAAAAACAAACAAACAAAAAAAAAAAAAACAAGTGAATACCTGTCACTGATGGAAACTAGAAAGTCTTTGGGTGTAGATGAGAAAAGCTCAAAGTTTGCAATGTCCAACTGCTTCACTTGAATAGGCTCACAGAGTTCTATCACAAACCTGTAGAGAAGCAAAAAAACAAACAAAAAAATAATAATTATTATAAAACTTTTAAAGCTAAAAATTGGGCTCAGTTAAACCCCACCATTATTGTGGGACCCACCAAATTTTGTTGCTGCATGGATTCAGCATGTATAAGTCCATATTCTCCATGAGAATAGCAGACGTGCTCTGAAAGAAGAAAAAAAGTTGAATTAAAATCCTACCATCACCCCAACATTGTTAATCTTGCTTGTTTCCTTATACAATTGCAGTCAAAATGTGACAAAAATTGTTTCATGCGTGCTTAGATGTCTGGTCTCAGCTTAAATGCTAAGCGAACAAGTATAAAGTCATTTGACACATCTGTTGACACATAATGACAGCATTACGTGAGGATTCGCGTTTGTGTGTAGGCGGCAGAGCGTGATGTGCGACTAACCTTGGCCTCACTGTTGGCAGAGAGTATCTTGGCTCCACACTCTACAGAAGCGTAGTTATTCTTGAAGTTTTTCTGGACCTTCTTTGTTGGATGGGGGCTGCTGCTGGTTGAGGTATGGAGAGACTGACCTGGACAGAGAAAGCACTACATTAGGTCTTTTCGAGAGCCTTGAAAATGAGTGGTGCCAAACCGCAAAGAATAGACATATTGCACAACATGCATAAACACATGCTCCACTGACTGCTGCACACAGTGTGCATAGCGTGAAAAGGAAGGGGAAAAAAGAAGGAAGCTATACAGGAACAGAACATAAGGAAGGATGCAACCGAGAAAAGACGCAGCATACAAACGGGTAGTAAGTAGTCTTCTTTACAGAAGCAATGGCATAAACATGTTGTGTCACAGTCAGATTAACATCAGCAAGCTATTTTTGAGGTGCCTGAACCCAAACTTAAACAAGAACTTAGTTGTTCATGTGACGTGTCTCTAGTCATCCCTGTACGAGCTGTCTCGTGTCTGTACAATAAATCCACATACTTTTCTCCTTTTCCACCTCCATGACTTGCTTCTTCCATTCATCAAAGGTAGGGATGTCCTCTTTGCTGGGCACAGAGGGATCAGTCTCCCTGGGAGCGTTTGTTTCCCCTGTCTGAAACATACACACATATCCAGAATGTAAATATCAGACACCAAAAAATATGCAAAAATATTTACATGGTGGAAGAAGTGAACCTTGAATTTCTGTTAACAAGGTTAGTTGGCATCAGTGACTCACTAAGCAAGTACCTTATTATAAAAGCATAGCATGTGGTAGAACAACTAAAAGATGCCCATCCTCTATTCGTGGTAGTAAAGCTAGCCCGTGGTGACTGAAGCACTGAGATGCACTGAGCTGTGATTAATATTTTGATGGATTATGTAAGTGCCCCTTTGAGCCTCACAAGACAGCCTGATTCTGAAAATCCACAACTCAGACAGCCTCTTATGTAAAACGCCCTAACAGCCCAACAAGAGTCATTGCCAGCCACATACAGATTAGTCATCAGATCTCAGCTCCAAATCAGCAAAATGAGGTACAAATACACTATGAACACAAGCCCTCCCGTCCTCCGAAACTAAATACTTTCCCCAGATACAATCGTCCTTCAACCATGAAAAAGCAACTGACAGCAGGCTGACTCAACATTTTCAAACTGAAACATTCAAATGTTGCCCTTTGCTAGAACAGATGTGCATGCTGAATATTTATAATGTTCATGGCCACCTAGACGGCAGGTTTCGGAAAGTTTTGCAGTCTGTGCGGACAGGTGGACTTACTCAGCCTCAGGCCACCAATCTTATTATATCCAAGCTCAGTGCTCATGTCGTTGCAGTTGTTCCAAAATAAACTTCTCCCTCAGATCATATTTCAGGAACATCTCACCTGAAATAAGGACGTTGACTGTACCTTGGTCTAAGTTTTTTCTCCCACCACGTGTCCAACTGTCAAATTTTCCATCATGATACCAGCAGTTTTGTAATGCCTCAAGCCATATGCTACATGCGATTTGCTTCTTTCACAACAGAAATAACAATTCCCAAACACCACAAAGCCTCTAACCTGCTGTTTTTTGTGTTGGTGGTGTGAGGTGTTGCCCACTTGTTCCAAAACAGACAGCCCATCTTCGAGCACCTCACGCTGCTCTTGTTCCTGGTCCACTAGGCCTGGAGTCGACTGAATTTCTGTTTCAGGACCAGAGCTGTGCCTCTGATCTGTCTGCTGGTCCTCTGTGACAGCCTCATCCATGCTACATCACAGAGAGGGGACCAATGTGGAGTAGAGGGAACAGAAAGAAATGGACAGGGGAAGAATAAAGGAACAGAAGGGCATGGAATAAATTTAAGTTTAAGGCTATGTCAAATATGTGAGTTAAAAAAATAACAACAAAATTGAATTTGACGTTTTTTTTGTTGTTTTTTTTAAATCCTTGGTTGGAGCAGGCAAAACAAAGAAGGGAAATTTTAAAAGAAAAAAGAAAAAAAAAAAAAAGCAACATTAAGTAGAGAGCAAGGCCAGCGGTCGACGGTTGGGCACAGCAGAGAGGTGTAGCTTGTACCTTCATTATCAGTCTCTGTGCTTTGATTGGCTTCTGGTGGTTAGAAACTCACCTGAGGAGAGGGCTGCCAAAAGGGGAGCTTTCACAGGTTGCCAGTTCGGGGGGAATGACCCCGCACTGTGAATCAGAGTGCTCAGCAAAGACAAAGCTGTCTACTGGGAATTCATCTCCTGCACTGGCAACCCGCACTGCACTGAGGGAAAGAAAGGACATGGCGTTTACCACACCTCCTTACACTGGGGAAGGTAGACAGGAGGGTAGGGTGGAGGGTAGGGTGGGGGAGAGGGCGGGATGGAGACAATGGGGAGGAGATAAATGACACAGAGGCATGAGAGCGGGAGGGAGAGAAAAGGAAGAGGGGGGCAGAGTGGTTGGCTGCTGCTGGTGGCTAGCTGATTAGGACTTGAAATGCTGATTGAAATGCCCCAGTTCTGAATACAGAAGATACCATGGGAAGGACATGTTGTTGTTGTAGGAGATATTTAGACTAATCTGGGTCAAAGTTCCAGGTCCATAGGGATGATTCTCTTTATTTTTTTTAAACTTCCATTACAAAAACCATTAGAAAATAAATAAACAGTCCCTTGCTCCAGCACAATGCTCCATGAAAAATAACTGAAACATCCATGGGGTCAGATCTTCTTTAGACTCATCTTCTAGTGTGTGATGAGTCACTTTGCGTAAATAATTGTGAAGAAAAAGCAACTGAGGGAAACATAAGTCAAACAAAAATACCAAAACACATTTGCAATGTCTGACATGACAATAGTGGCACTGAAACGGATTACGTTAGACCTGGACTGTCGTGAAATTGGCTTTAACCTTAAGAAGAACAACATGTTCTATGTTTTTTTTTTTTAGCGATGTAGGGTTAGAAATTCAGTTCTCCAATTTCAGTTTTGTGGTTATAGCCAACTTCTCTTGAAAGACACCAGATCATTGGCTTGATGAAGTGAATCTGAGCTTACCCTGTGTGGGTCAGCCCAGCACTCTGTGAGGTAGGTTTGTTTTCAGCTTCATCGGGGGATGTGTCTGGGTTTGAGTCTAGATTGGGAATTGGTTCACTTGAAGTCTCTGCTGGGGTATCTGTGGTCACTTGGCCCTGTGCTGGAACTGGTTCTGGAGTGGCGAGCACTGGGGCATTATGGTCGTGGTCCTGTGTGTGAATCTGCAGGCCCAAGTCAGCCTGGGGATCTGGGGTAGGTTCTGGCTCAGGGGCAACAGGTACAGTATCCGACTCTGGGTCTAGCTTTGTCTCTTCCTCTCCAGCTTCTTGTGGCTTCACAGTCTGGTAACAGAAGAAAAAGTACATTTCTGATTAGGGCTGTTCGACATAACGACATATATCGGATGACGATATAAAAACATCTACAGTTTCATTTTACGCTATCGTTTGTTTCGTGGTGTCGCAAAATAAACGTTTACGGCAATATTTTTTCATCGTTTTGATAGTCACCGTAGTGGTTATATTTATTTCTTAAAGTTCTCTCTTTCTCTTATATTTAATATAACCACACTTCAGACGGACAAGCGCCTGTTTTTATGCGTTGTCGTTAGCAACAACGACGGTAAAACCATCGCTGTCCGCTTGTTTATTTTCCACATAAACCCTTCACAATAAAGCTCAAGATCCTGTTGAGACTTTTCAAAATAAACTGAATCACGTGAAAGAGTATGCAGAGTATCTACGGATGAGAAGCAAAAAATAGCAGTCAGGTGCTAAAATAAATAAATAAATAAATAAATAAATAAACCTTAGACTCAAACGTTAGAACATGCTCTTCCCCGCAGCACGTCGTGTAATAAATACTCAAAGAAAATGGCTGCCTTTACAACTTATGTCTAAAAAAAAATAAATATAGTTTCATGCATCGGTTAAAACACTTGACTCCAGCTACATGACGCCCAGCTGGAAACACTTCACGCAAGTCGAGCTGCCCGAGATTCACAGAATTTACAGAAAATGTTAAATTTTTGTGATTTATATAGTTATCGGACGATAGATGTATTATATCGGGATATGAGGTTTTGATCATATCGCACAGCCCTATTTCTGATGCAATTTAACTGCTCACCTAGATCAGTGCCATCAGATTAAGATCAACATTATTTATCATTTTCCTTTTCCAGTTCATGTGTTTGTGTCCCACATACATAATATACTTTTAAGAGTTTATGGTGCACACTTAAAAGCTGAGCTCTGCCTCACACTCCACCTTTAAGGTATTTACAACCTCAATTTCCCTTTTTATATTGACACTTTTTTTTTTCTTTTTTTTTTAAAGCCTGCCTTAGTATCCTGTTCACTGTAACTTAACTTTTTGAGCGATACTCTGGAAAACGTCCAATAACTGATGTGTCTTTTTACCTCTTCATGGTGTATGCTCTGTTTTTGTAGTTTCTCTCGTGCTGCTCTCTCGGTTTCTAGCCCCATATCGTATGATGTGTGTGTCTTCCACTCTTCCACCACCTAGGAGAAAATGAATAATAAGAACACAGGATAAGAAATACAAGTTAATGACATTACTGGCGTTGTTACTAGATTGAGTTTTATTCTAAAAATTAGTTTTTTTGTATGTAAAAATGTCAAAAGCAAAAGGTCTTTCCACCTCCTGATGTGAAAAAGCCTTTTGTCGATGGACAAAGGCAACATTATAAGGCTAATGACTGACTGCCAGGGCTGCTGGCAGAGCTGTTTGTTGTTGGACCTCAAACAATGATTCTTTTTCTTCTGTGCCCACAAATGCATACCAAAACTCATTCACTTCCCCAAATTATCATTCATTTCTGATACTCACTGACACATGAATACAGAGAAGCATTTCAAATGTTTTTAAAAGTGAGGCGATCTACAATTTTCCTCGTCCTACTTCGAATGGCTGCAATGACATCGACACACTTTGTATGAACTACTTTCAGTTTAGACAATATTTAGCCATGAAAGCCTGAGAAAACATGTAGCGCTTTGAACCCATAGGGCAGGTCCTAACCTAAATCACATCAACCTCTATGACTGATTCTGCAGAGCAGACCAGGTTCTGACTGCGTGTAACTGGGCTGGTTACTCAGCTTTGTGAGTAACCATTTACCTGGATTTGGTTCCACTTTTTGTCTATTTTTTTCTCTCCAAAATGCAGTGTCATAACCATCGATTATTGTCTGCCAACTACTCAGATTGTCATTTTATTAATCTTATCAACATTTGATGGTGGCAGATGGAACAGGAAGTCTTGGCCTGGATAGCCACTGACTACACTTTGGATAGTCTCAGGAAGCTATTTTTTAATGTGTTCCCAGATAAAGTCTTCTGGTTCTCTTTGTGCTTGTTAAGTCTGATGTAATTAGCTATTTTCAGATCCAAATACTCTTTTGTTTGCCTTAAGCAAAGATGTTCAGCGGTACCATTCATGTTTAAAAACAGCCCAGATTCACTAAACTCCATTAAAGTGATCAGCTGAGCCGTTCTTCCAGATGTTAGAAGGTATTGGTAAGCTATAGTTACCTAGTTGATGTATAAAGATGGGTTGTGATTGATGTAAAGAAGAAAAAAGTAAATACTAGAAAGATTTTGGAGGGTTTTACACTAGTTGACACATTTATCTGCCACTCAACAGCTAGCTGGGTATCTTTAGGCTATTATAAACATCGCAACACTGGCAAAGTATTAATTGAAATACAGCACTTGTGAGCCATCAGATCACAGGAAGAAGATAAATAGGCAATAAAAGCTCAGAGTGTCTGATATGATCCTACCCAAAAATATATATAATTATTAATTGCTGGAGGGATACTTCGAAAATGCTCCCTAACCTTATTTGTAAAACAGGAATTTTAGTTGGGCAGACAGTGATCCACTTCTGACGGACCAACATATTGGTCTCCAGGATATCAGTGAGTTTTTAAGCACTTAAGCACTTAAAGGTGTACTCCATTTAAACACTGCTAATTGAAGACTTTCCTACTCAGAACAGCAGGTCACTGAAATAACAAGAACCTTAGCCAAAAAAGAAGGGCCTTGGAGCGCAAAACTGGATCAATAGGTGCCAACTTAGCAAACACACCAGCCCATTTTTCGTCAACGTTTACTGGGTCACTAAAGTTCATGACCCAACTCCCACAGGTAGAACTTGGTGTTAAGATGACCGTTTCTGTTTTTCACATTAAGAACGATTATACAGGTCTCCAAATTGTAATCTGTTACAGTCAAAAGCTGAGATACATGAAAAGGCCAGAACTTCTACACACCTTGTTTTGCGTGGAGTCCTGCTCCTGCTCGAGGCCATCAGGATCTTTCTCCTGTCGAGGCTGACCTGAGCCAGACAAGCTCTGCTCTGAACAATAGACATGTTGACTAGGGTACCTGAAAGACAAACAAGAGAAGATTTGTTAGAACATTTATAAGCCTTTATATACACACACACACACACACACACACACACACACACACACACACACACACCAAACAAACAAAACAAGGATTACTATAGAAATACTTAAGCTAGCCTAAGTAGCCTTGGGGGAAAGAGCCACTCACACAGTTAATTAAAGCACTGACTATAGGAGAACAAAGAAAGCTTCAAGTACAGGAGAGCAAAAGTAGAGATTCAAAACAAGGGCTAAAACCAAAGGAAGGAGTCCACATTAAGTTACAAGGAGAGAGAGTGACAGGAACAGAATTGCATGAACAAAACAGGGTAAACCAAATTCCTTTTGTCATGTGTATTCTTATAAGCTGCTCAAGGCAAACTATTTTCTTTGATTCAAATTTGGCTTAGGATATTGCTGTAATTCTTTTAGCCATCTGAAAGTCAAGTGAAAAAAAAAGTGTAGCCTGAGCACTTTCTGCACTGCTTCTTCATGTATCTTGTTGTCAAACTACTAATGCCTATCAATTTAAACACGCAGGTGTTCTACACCAGCTGTTCTGAAAATTTCGCTAATTCGTAGCTCTTAATGGTGTCGCATTAAATCACCGACTGTGAGGAGAATAAAAGTACTTTTACTGAATTGACAAAGTTGCAAAGACACACACTATTGTGGTTTTTGTTTTGTTTTTTTAAATTACACAAGTTTCATACTTCAGGTGAAATGAGCATTTTGTGAGATATTGAGATTCCCATGACTCGCGGTTATGTTCACCAACTTCCACCAACCTGCAGCGTGTTCAAACTCACATAATCTCAAAAATTACTGGGGTGGGGTGTGTGTGTGTGCGCGCGTGCGAGTGGTGGTGGGGGGGCACGTTAACCTTATATCAAATGAATGTCAACTTCAACAGTAAGTTAATAAAAAGGAGATCAAACAAGGATGGAAAGGTTATGAAACCACAAGACCAGAGCTAATAAAAGGCAAACAAAGCAAGAGACCGAACAAAGAAACAAGGCAGGGAGGCGGGAAAGATAGGCACAACTGTTTCTCAGTTATTACTATATTAGTGGAGTAGAAATGAAAAGCAAAATGAAACAAGAGGTAGGTCTCAACTGTGTTAACAAGTTAACTTAAGCCATCTGTCAGTTAGTTGATATTATAACAGGGTGAACAAGTTAGTCAGCATACAGACTTTGAGCCATTCATTTGGCTTATAGATTTAGTTAAACTGAATGGCTTTAGCTTTAAAGAAAGAACTCACACATTTGGGAAGCAAAACAGAAAACTTAAACTGATTAAATAATTTAGTTCACGTCGGTGAAAAATCAACAAACCGTGTCAAAGCTTCCAATGTAAGAAACCACAATATGGAAACTGCCTGCTCATTTAAACTAGAGCTCATGTGCACTTATGAAAGTAAGCATACAAAGCTCAAACCTGAAGCATAAAAAACACCCATCAGTAACTGTTGCACAGACAGACAGAAAGACACAACTCTACTCGCAAGTGCCATGTGATCCTCAGGCTGAAACAGTTAGCCTTGAGTGCTCAAATGTCAGGAGAGAGCGAAGCACATGGACAATCATGTTAGCGCTCTGTCAGCCTGGCTGTCAGGAGTAAGGAGATGCACAGTGAGCAACATACGCAATCACTGACAGACAAGCATCTGTGCAAGTCAGTGTCCTGTCACTCAGAGAGCCCTGCCATCCGTATATTCTATGTTTGAAGAGACTAAATAGACAAGACCAAAAAAAAAAACAAAACAAAACAAAAAACATGAGAAGAACATCTTTTGAAAGCTTTGACCCCTCTAATATAATCATCTCGGGCACAGACATTCACCAAACCTTCTGTTTAGGAAGGTCAGGCAATAAGAAGCTGGCTTAAAGGGATGGTTAAATTAGATTGTTTCTCTTTCAGATATTAGAGAAACTGAGGTCTAGTGTCTTTGGTGGCAGGCCCGATATCATCAGGCGATATATGCTTTTTGCTGATTTATCAGTAACAGCATTCATCAAGTGTACACAAACACTTGATGCAGCAAAAACACAATCAGCAGATCTGAGCAGAGTTGGGCAGAGTGTAAATAATTACATAAATCTAAGGGAAATCTGTTCATGCTTTATGGTGATCGACTGAATTCTCACTTTAAAAGTGAACAAAATAAATCAATAAAAAAAAATTAACAAACCCACAATCAAATATCATTATCACATCAGTATAATAATAAAAATAATATCATTAAAAACAAATGCTATAGTCAGTCAGGCTCTACTGATGGGATTCACCAAGCCCCAGTATAACACGGCTGATGCCAACATTTGGTGATTTGATAAAGTGCTTTTTTTCCCCCCATATAACTGAATAACATGTTATCTACAAGTCCTTACAAAAATAAATGCAACAAATTTAAAAGGGGATCAATTTAGTAATACAACAAAGCCATTGTTAATAAAGATGACTCAGTTTATTACAAAATGAATCACAGCCCAGTCTATGGTTTTACCCCAGTATATATATTGGGCAGAGGAGCAAAGTGTTATATCTGTGCCAGAGCTCAATTCTAAAGAGTATTAAACTCTAAAACCGAGGAATTAAATTTACTATTGGTTTAGAAACAGGTTGCTACACAAGCATATTTTAACCACATTTGTTAATTGTCATTTCATTTATTCAAGTACTACAGACATCTTATCTTGTTAAACAGAAAAATTTATAGATCGCTCTTAAATTAAAGTCATACAGACTCATCGACTCTTTTGTATGTGGATTGTTCATGCTTACAAGCATAGCCATCTCCAAGCCAGCAAAAACCCTGACACAGCTGTCAAAATGAAATGATGAAATATGTGCACGAACGTATATGTGTTAACACCTCGTAGTGTAAGCGTTCCCCCAAAGGTGATAAAATGAGCCACAAAGCCAGAGGGGGAACCCTAAGAGCCAATCACTAGACAGACACTAAGGAGTAAATATGGAGCACAAGCTAATGTATCTTCCTGACTAAACTTAGATCCATAGCTTTAAGCTATTTTGTGTTGCGTTTCAAATGTCTCCTGTGACCCCTTATAACTCAAAACACACATGAATGTAAAGGGAAGACCTCGTCCATTCAGTGACGTCACGATATTATGTAACAGACAATTAGCATATCTTGAGGTCAGCGTGGCATCCATGTATGCAACAGGGATGATTAATGGTTTTATCCTAAAATACTTTTAACTTCAATTTTAAACAAACATGAACGTTCATGAAAATATTGATTCGTTACCTAATAATCACGTGCTGACTAAAGAGCAGAAAAATCATTAAAACACATGTTTAGTCAAGTCAGAGCTACTCCATGCCTTCAAAAGCTAAACCAGTGTTTCACACACAGACACATGAATCATAGATGCCCACACAGTCAAATACAGACTCTTTACCCTAATATCAAAAAGGAACAAAATGTACTCAAAAATCTTCTGAAAAAAACAAAAATTCCAGGAAAATCCATGCCATGTGCCTGACACCAACATGCCAATTCATTTTATTTTGGATTATAATAGACTTCTGTTAAACTTTTCAGGCTACAGCCACCTCAAATCGCTTACCAGGTCCTTGCCTGCAAAACTCTTCCATACTCTTTGCAGTGATGGTTTTTGTTCCCTTATTTCTCTTCCTGTACATAGTCGTAAAGCTTGTAGTGCAAGCTTTTCCTAAACCAATCAACTGTTGCATTGCAGATCTATTGAATCACATGTGTGTCGAGTCAAGGAAATAATCTGACCAGTAAAGCAGAATCAATAATAGCATTGCTAACAATCAGTGAAAACACATCACGTCAACATGCAACAGCTGTGCTGTGCAGCTTCCTTTTGGTTGCTTCCACCTTTTTAGTCTTCGTGACTTATCCAAAAATCATTTATAACTTGAAAGTGCATGCGTGGCCTGGAATTACACAGAGACAAGCAGTCGATCATGAGACGGAAGATAAAAGAGGTTGTGTCTGAGTTAAGAGTCTGAAAGAAAACAAACAATCAATATAGCAAAAATAGGAGTAAGATGAAGTAATAATGTTATTTTCACTTTCCCTCTATGCATGTATTACACCAATTCAGAAGCTGAAATACAGTGCAAACCCATCAATTTAACATATAAATTTTAAATGTGCATCTCACACCAACTGTACTTTTATTGTTATAGAGGAAATAGAATAAGTGACAGGTACCAGATAATTTTGGAGTCTGAGCTGTCTTTTTAAAACAAGATCCTGTGTGGTTTTGGTCAGAAACCTTTAGCTATAAGACGCCTGCAGCTTTGTCCTGTGATTTCTTGACTCTGCATGATCTGCTTACGTAAAGCCGTTCTACAACTGCCACAAAGCCTTAGAATAATTTCAAATTTTGCAAAGATCGGACATCCTCTGGATACTTTGCCAAGTTCTGATATGATTATTTCCTTATTTTTGCCTGATGAAACCTAGACTTTTTCACTTTCAAGTTTCAGATAAAGGCCAATAAGGTCAAATGGAAAAAGTAAAAAAGGTGACTTCAGAAGTGACTTTGCAGCTGCTGCTTCTGTGCAAAGCATGCTCAGTGATGCATCAACTAAACACATCAACTAAACACTGCTTGTTATCATTTTTTAAAGCTATCATTCAATCTCTCAGATAAGCGCCCTTGTGTAAAATGCAGATGGGTGACAAACAGATCTCACAGTACAGTACACGTCTGTATAAACTTCCTTGATCATGAATGCAAATCTCACAATCATCCCCAATGTGACTCACTGGGAAAATGTTTAAAGGGAAACTTGCAAAGTCATAAATGTGTCTAATCAAATGAAAAACATTCAAATACAAAGATTAATAAATAACCTCAATTCCCCCCCAAAAGTGGGACACTGTGTAAAAGGCAGGTAAACATTTGCTAAGTTTTCTAAGTTCAATTGTGAATAAAATATGGGTTTACAATATTTACAGATGATTGCGTTCCTTTTTTAGCTTTACAG